ATGGCCATCATCATCTTGTGCCTTTGATCTTCATCTCCAAAGCACCATCATGATCTCCATCATTACCGGCTTGACACCATGATCTCCATCATAGCATCAATGTCGGCTCGCCAACTATTACTTCTACAACTATCGCTAACGCATAGTGATAAAGTAAAGCAATTACATGGTGATTGCATTTCATACAATAAAGCGACAAACATAAGGCTCCTGCCAGTTGCCAATAACTTTTACAAAACATGATCATCTCATACAATAACGTATATCTCATCATGTCTTGACCATATCCCATCACAATATGCCCTGCAAAAACAAGTTAGACGTCCTCTACTTTGTTGTTGCAAGTTTTACGTGGCTGCTATGGGCTTCTAGTAAGAACCGTTCTTACCTACGCATCAAAACCACAATGGTTTTTCATCAAGTATGTTGTTTTAACCTTCAAAAAGGACCGGTCGTAGTCAAATTTGATTCAACTAAAGTTGGAGAAATAGACACCCGCCAGCCACCTTTATGCAAAACAAGTTGTCTGTCGGTGGAACTGGTCTCATGAACGTGGTCATGTAAGGTTGGTCCGGGCTACTTCATCCAACAATACCGCTGAATCAAAATAAGATGTTGGTGGTAAGCAGTATGACTATGATCGCCCACAACTCTTTGTGTTCTACTCATGCATATCATCTACGCATAGACTTGGCTCGAATGCCACTGTAGGGGAATGTAGCATGCAATTTCAAAAAAATTCCTACGATCACGCAAGATCTATCTAGGAGATGCATAGCAACGAGAGGGGGGAGTGTGCCCACGTACCCTCGTAGACCGAAAGCGGAAGTGTTAACTTAATGCGGTTGATGTAGTCGAACGTCTTCGTGATCCAACCGATCAAGCACCGAACATACGACACCTCTGAGCTCAGCACACGTTCAGCTCGATGACGTCCCCCGAACTCTTGATCCAGCAAAGTGTCGAGGGAGAGTTTCGTTAGCACGACGTCGTGGTGATGGTGATGGTGATGTGATCCGCGCAGGGCTTCGCCTCAGCACTACGACAATATGACCGGAGGAGTAAACTGTGGAGGGGGGCACCGCACACGGCTAAGAGAACAATTGATGTGCTTTGGGGTGCCCCCTGCCCCCGTATATAAAGGAGGAGGGGAGGAGGCCAGCCCTAGGGGCGCGCCCAAGTGGGGGGCGACTAGGACTCCTAGTCATTGTCGGGCCCCCCTTTCCTTTCTTTCAGAGGGGAAAATGGAAGGAGAGGGAGAGGGAGAAGGAAAGGGGCGGGGGCGCGCCCCCTTCCCCTTGTCCAATTCGGACAGCCCATGGGGGGTGCGCGCCACCCCTTGTGGGCTCCCCTCTCTCTCCCCTATGGCCCATGTTGGCCCATTACTTTCCCGGGGGGTTCCGGTAACCTCCCGGTACTCAGAAAAATACCCGAACACTCCGGAACCATTCCGGTGTCCGAATACTATCGTCCAATATATCAATCTTTACCTCTCGACCATTTCGGGACTCCTCGTCATGTCCGTGATCTCATCAGGGACTCCGAAGAATCTTCGGTCACCAAAACACATAACTCATAATACAAATCGTCATCGAACGTTAAGCGTGCAGACCCTACGGGTTCGAGAACTATGTAGACATGACCGTGACACATCTCTGATCAATAACCAACAGCGGAACCGGGATGCTCATGTTGGTTCCTACATATTTTATGAAGATCTTTATTGTTCAAACCGCAATGACAACATACGTTATTCCCTTTGTCATCGGTATGTTACTTGCCCGAGATTCGATCGTCGGTATCCTCATACCTAGTTCAATCTCGTTACCGGCAAGTCTCTTTACTCGTTCCGTAATACATCATCCCACAACTAATTCATTAGTTACATTGCTTGCAAGGTTTATCATGATGTGCATTACCGAGAGGGCCCAGAGATACCTCTCCGATACTCAGAGTGACAAATCCTAATCTCGATCTATGTCAACCCAACAAACACCTTTGGAGACACCTGTAGAGCATCTTTATAATCATCCAGTTACGTTGTGATGTTTGATAGCACACAAGGCGTTCCTCCGGTATTCGGGAGTTGCATAATCTCATAGTCAAAGGAATATGTATAAGTCATGAAGAAAGCAATAGCAATAAAACTTAACAATCATTATGCTAGGCTAACGGATGGGTCTTGTCCATCACATCATTCTCCTAATGATGTGATCTCGTTCATCGAATGAAAACACATGTCTATGGTCGGGAAACTTAACCATCTTTGATTAACGAGCTAGTCAAGTAGAGGCATACTAGGGACACTTTGTTTTGTCTATGTATTCACACATGTATTAAGTTTCCGGTTAATACAATTCTAACATGAATAATAAACATTTATCATGATATAAGTAAATATAAATAACAACTTTATTATTGCCTCTAGGGCATATTTCCTTCAATGCGCTACTTCGTAAGGGACCGATTTGGATCCAAATGTTTAATTCTATGGTTAGATTTTATCTTAATACCTTTCTCGTAGTTGCGGATTCTTGCAAGGGGGTTAATCATAAGTGGGAGGTTTGTTCAAGTAAGAACAACACACAAGCACCGGTCCACCCACATATCAAATTATCAGTAGCGAATGTGAATCAAACCAACATGATGGAAGTGACTAGATGAAATTCTCGTGTGCCCTCAAGAACACTTTGCTTATTATAAGAGACTGTTTTGGCCTGTCCTTTGCCACAAAAGGATTGGGATACCTTCCTGCACTTTATTTACCGTTATTGTTACTCTTCCGTTACAAATTATCTTGCTATCAAACTACCTGTTACCGACTATTTCAGTGTTTGCAGAAAATACCTTGCCAAAAACCACTTGTCATTTCCTTCTGTTCCTCGTTGGGTTCGACACTCTTACTTATCGAAAGGACTACGATTGATCCCCTATACTTGTGGGTCATCAATATTCTTTGATGGGAAACTGGGGTGATTCCCGCAAGCCCATGTCTATGATTTACCTGCAGGAGGAGCTCACCAATGGGTGACCGCCCAGGCTCAAAGGGATTGCACAAGTTCAAGGTTGAGTAGCTACTATGTGTAACCATGAGTCAGTATGGGTTATGTCTTGACTAAGTAAGTTGTGGGAACCCCTATGACATGACCAGCTGGTGTAGATTTTTGCATGTAGGTTGACTGGGTCTACCATTGGGCGTGGGTTACCGCCTCCCAAAAGCATCTTGGTCTACCTAGCTACTTCACAAGTGAAGTTTAGTAGTAGAAGGGTGTGATTCGGAATCATGGGTAATGTAGACAAACCTCTGCAGAGTGCATAAAACTGATCATGATTAGCCATTTCCCTGGTTATAGACAACTTTTGAGCAACTCTACTGAGATCTGTTAGCAAAATGGGAATCAGGCTTACACCAAGTAGCATGTTTATTTCAGTTCAGCATATCCTCGTGAAACTTGCCAATACATTCATCGTATTGACCCTTGTGGCTGCAACATATCATGTTCCAGGAATTTCCATGTCGAAGGAGTGATACGAATTCGGGTTACGATGCTATACTCAGCTCTTGCCTATGAGTGGATGGATGCCACAAGACTAGAATATTACCTCCGTTGCATGATTGTTCTAAGTTAGCTCATGAGCTAAGCATGTCAGGCATAAAAGAGACTAGATCTGCGATGGAATACTATGACATGTAATGTATTTTTGGTATTTCATTGTTGACTGTGCGTGTCAGCTATTGATCCAGAGACTGGCACAGTAAACGCAGAGATTTGGGGCATCTCTTGGGACTGGGTCATGACATATATAATATGGGGGGTAGATACACGATGTAACTTATGCCAACATAATAGCATAGGCACGCATAAGAAGCTGACGGCGTGTGTCGGCGGCCGGGGTATTGTGACGGTGTCAAGGAGAGGAGCACCCGTACTCATGCCCCGAGGATGTAGCTGATGTTCGGTGAACCTTGTTAACAAATCTTGGTGTCCTATCTCGTGTGATTGTTCGTTTCTCGGATGATCGATTATGCGTCTTGGATTATTCTAACATGTAACCCTATATACGAGGAATAAAATTAAGAAACAATTTTATGTCACTACTTAGTTTTTGGAGCAATAGTTTTAGAAAGCAGTACCGTGATTAAATGATATTTCCTCCCAAAAATTATTATAGTTTTGTAGCAATTAATAATTTTGACTTGTAGAAATTTAAGTACTAACAGCATGGTTTCGTTGATAATTTCACATTCCACTATACACGGGCATGGCCTTTGGGTTCCAGGGAGCATTTCACATTCCACTATATACGAGGAATAAAATTAAGAAACGATGAATAGTAAGTTAAAAAATAATACTCCATACGATCCTTATAAGTGGTTGTTGATTTAGTACAATTTTATAAAGAAATCAGCAACAATCCTTATTAATTGTCGCTCAACTAATATGTATTGAGGGAGTAGCAACTTTTTCAATGTTTTTTAATATTTTTGTGTGACAACTCACAATTTTGATGCGAACCAGAACGATAGTGTTTCATCAATATTAAAAACAAAGTTACGTGGTCAAGAAATGCGAAAAATTTGACGTTTTTCCTGCACAGATCAAAATGCTTAGGCTTTACACCTAAACATTTGCAGATAACATTTGGACGTAAAAATATACTACATTTTTATTTTATTTTAGTATTTTTTTTTGGCATTTGCAAAAATGTTTTTTGGCGTGCAGGAGCCAATGCTCCCTAGAGCCCTACTGGATATCCGACTACACACATCCATTTTTCTTATAACACTATACACATTCATCCGTGCTGAACAAGAAGAGAGACCTTACAACATCGCTCATCAGTCACTGCCTCGTGGAGCCCACTCTGGACATGGGCAGAAGATCGCCCAAGCCGAAGAAACATGAGATGACACACACAGCACACCAACACAAGAACTCTCTTTCGGATGTGGCAAGGTTCCATTTCAGGTTCAGTTTCAGAGCACAAGGGCTCAGGATCTACATCAGCTGGTTGCCGACGGGGTCAACGACGAAATGCAGCTCGAGACATCTCTCGGTAACCGGATGAAATTTGGATGTCCACATCTGCACCTCACAAGACAGGCACAAAGGAATTGTTAAAAATGGAACTTCATCAAGCATTTGTGACAAAATCGAGTATGGTGCTTGCTGTGCATTATTCTTGCTGTCATGGGTAGGGAGTTTCAGAGTTGTTGAACTCTGTGTCTCCTGATTTTAGACAACAAATCATCATCATTCTGTAAGACTAGCTTCAGCTTCTGTTTTGGAAATGCACCAAATGATATTTTCTGATCATTTTTTAGACTGCAACAGTTACTAGGTTCTTTTTTAGGTCCCCAAAAGGTTCAAGGTTCTGAATGTTCTAAGTTGTTGAGCTGAAGTTACACAAAAGCGAAACAAGTTTTCAGAACACTTATTTAATTATGTCAATCTCTTATTGTTGTTCCATCCATGATAGAAACAAGATTCCTCTTCCAAACCCATTAATAACAGAATTTACTGACTCCCAAATTCCTTTGAAAATAAAAGTGTTTATGTGGTTTGTCCATAAACAAGTTATTTTAACCAAGGACAACTTGATAAAGCGTAATTGGACAGGACCTACTAGGTGTAGTTTCTGTGATCGGAATGAGACAATCAAACATCTCTTTTTTGATTGCCCGTTGGCCAAAGTACTTTGGCAGACGGTCCACATTGCTTTTAATATCAATCCACCGAATTCTGTTAACGCATTATTTGGGACATGGCTTAATGGGATTGAGCCTGACTTAGAGAGACACATTCGGGTTGGTGTTTGCGCTTTGATGTGGACTATCTGGACTTGCAGAAATGATTTGGTTTTTAACAGAATATCATATATCCACTTTTTGCAGGTTATATTCCGAACTACGGCACTGATCCGTTCGTGGTCGCTACTCACCCCGACGGAGGCCAGAGAGCATTTGGTTACTGGATCTTTCCGCTGGGAGATGGTAGCTCGGGATATCTTCAACCGGTTTGGATGGCGGTCATGTAATAGGATAGGCATTTAGTTTACCTACCTAGTTTTAGCCAGCCGGTTGTGGCATCTTTTCATGGCTAGTTGGTGTTTCTAGCCCGTTTTGGCTCTGTGTGAGCTTTCTTTACTTTTTCATTACTTTTGGAGACCTTGGAACCATGTTCGCACTGCTTTATTTGGTTAATAAGATGGCCGTATGCATCACTCTGATGCAGAGGCCGGGGAGTCCCCCTTTTCAAAAAAAAAAAACTGACTCCCAAATTCCTATCGATGAAAATGCAGAAGTCTTACATCCTTGTATTCCGTGCTCTCCTTGAATAATTTGAAGTCGTCAACTGCAGGAAACAAGAAAATTGTAGTAATCGGCCCCGCCGACGATCCCCGTCATCTAGCTTTGCTATACATCTATATAATTCAGGGACTCTGAAAGGGAACAAAAACAAAATGTAGGGAGAACTTACTTGATGGAAAACGGATAACTGCAGCGTGACTGTACAGACTATCCATATGATCCAGACAGCAACCTGCTTTTTGAAATATAATATCAGGATTGGTTCTTTCAGACCAAGGAAAAATTATGCAGGGGAAAGTTTGTGCAAATTACAATTTTTCAAGCAGATCAAGATAGAAGGTGCACTGCAAATTAATTGTCATATTGGAAATCTGACGGCAGAAGAAAAATAAACCCCTTTTTTGTCATACCTGAGGTTGCCTGAACAATGAAAGAATTGTAGTGGATGATCAGCTTTTGAAGATGGGCTAATGCATCCTCCACAGACTCTCTGGATGCAGTCTCCAGGAAAGATATCAACAGCATAAACTCGACTCCGTAGTTGAAATCCTGTTGAGCAAAGCAAAAATTATGTTCAGATCAGATGCAATGCTAAGCAAAAGAGGAAGATGACAGTCAATTACGTTACCTCGCCCCTCCGAAAGAGAGGGATAATGTCATCTTCCACCTCAGATTCAAAATCTACAGAAACCAAGCCCTGTAAGTTATCCAAGCAGTGACTCTCACAATGCAATGAGATCAGTACAGTCTAAGAACTGGAAAGGAGGATTACGCGGTGAGGCGTACATAGGAAACGGGTTTCACATGCTCGTCGAGAACATTGAAATAGTATGAGCTATTCTGGAACTTTGCAATGTCTTCTTTCTGTTGGAAACGCATGAATACAGCATGCGTGAAGCTCTCGCTATTAGGGCCCTCTATGCGGCCTGCACCCAAGAGACACATGTTTGCAAATATATAAATTCAAAGTGCAGTTCAGTACTCGAATGAATTTTCCATCAATAGATAGATGCAAGTCCCTTACCTAATGACACAGTGAGTATCCCTCTCATCTGATACTGAGATGTATATAAGTAATCAAGCATGTCCTTTTCTTCAGCATCTGAGATGTTTGGCTTGGCTCTGAGCAGAATAATGTGCTCCACTATCTTTCTGCCAATGCTACCAAGTCAGCGTGTGTACTACTATAACGCCATGTAAATCTGAGGATGAACATTTCAGTTTTGTGGTCTCAAGGTAAATCATTAGCTCGAACAAGAGTTCCGCACCTTTTCTTCACAGTATCACTAGATGGAGCGCCATTGTTGGGTCCAAATACGCTGCGAGGGGAATGGATTGACCTGCTTCTTGTCCCCCACCATCTACAATCTGCACCAGGAAGATTTAGTTCAAAGTTGGGTATATGCATATACTTGGAAAAAAGCATAAAGATCAAGCAAGAACTAGATCAAGATCTGACATCGGCCGAAATTCCGCGGCGGGTGGCGGCGATGCAGCCCAAAACAGCTCGCAACAGGGCGTGTAGTTTGAGAGGTCTGAGCTAGAAACGGCATCAGCATCCTGAAATTGCTGAGCTCGGAAGCTTAGCTCCCATTGTTGTTGTGGAGGCTTTATGGATTCTGGGGTGGAGCTGTGGGTGTGGTAATGTGGTATCTGCAAGCAAGGGTGCCTCACCAGAAGTTGGTGGTTGGAGCGTATGGCACTGTCCTTTTCCATTCTGCCTCTTTAGTTTCTGATATTTCTTGTGGCCAGAAAAATTGCTGGCTAGCGTATGGCTCTAAACATACCAATCACCATCAAAAAATCAGAACCCAAGTTCTGAACCTTACAAACTTAAGAAACCTGAGACCTTGACTTTCTTTCCAGACTCTGAAGGCCCTACATGATGAAAGCGGCATAAGACAAGGTGTGTGTTCAAAAATACATATGAGCAGAATCAAATGTAGATATAATGATTTTGGGAGCCAATAAGAAACCGAACCCACTTGACACTCGGGTTGACCAACTCTGTATGGATACTCTCCTTTCATCCTTGAAGCAGCGACAGCCTGAATTCGATCAAAATAACTGAAGTAAGGACAAAGATAACAATTAAGCAGATTTTCTTTTTTGAAAAGGAGGATAGACCCTGGGCTCTGTATCTGGACGATGCATGCGGCCATTTTATTAATTATTCACAGAAACCATACAAAGTAATACATCAGTCAGCCTTAAGCCACCATCTAGGCAACACTTGCTGCTACTCCTATCCCATTGATGAAAGTGTGCCCAATATCCGCTCCGAATACCAAACGGACATCGCACCAAACCCTAACATCTAAAGCCGGATGCCCCAGCCCAGCCACACACCGGGACTGGGTCCCATACCGGGCCAACGCACTCTCAGAGGCTGCCACCACCATCTTCCACCAGTCCATCTCCAGAGCAGTAAATGACCCATCGACCTTGCCTGGCCTGCCGTCGACGTCACCACGACGCGAAACAACTCCACCATGCTGCAGTGCTGCATGTATCCGTCCACGCGCGACCGTCGCTGAACCTCCGCGGTGCCATGCCACCGGGATCCGTCGTCAGTCTTGCGGTAGATGAGACACCGCTCTTCCGCTTGTCCCGTCAAACCAGCACTTGCTCAAAAGGATGCCCACAGGAGGGATAATGGCATCAAAGGTACCATCATTGTCTGATCCGATAGATCCAGATCTAGGTTTCCTCCGAAGTATCACGAGTGGGGTGCCACGACCTGCAACAATGATGCCTCGAGAAGAGAACGATGTCATAGACGCCTCCATTGTTCGCCATGACCGAAGTCGGCGCGATTTTCACCGGAAGTCGCGTCCCACCAACCTCGCAGCTAGTTGGAACCGAATGGAGCCTCGCCATGGAGACGAGGGTCGTCGTCGGCACGCCGGCAGGGAGCCTCTAGCCGCCCCTCACCGGTCTTCCTCACGCCACCGGCCGGCCAAGGCCATACCGATACGGATCTGGACAAGATGCCGGATCCGCAGCCATCGGGGCCACCCATGCGCATGCAGCCGCCACACTGCCGGCCATGAAGGCTCCCATCGCCGCCGCACTGCAGGGGCGCAGCCCTGACTGCCACCCCCGGCCTCCTCGCATGAGACACCGCCTCCGCCTCATAGGGTCCGCCGTGGCGACTATCCGCCCTGGATCTGCGGTGCAGAGCCCGCCGCCATCCGGTCCCTATATCTCGCTTACAGCGTTGCCTGAAGGAATACTCCACGTGTAGCTGTTGGGCCGGCCTATTTTTCCTGTTTGTTCTTGTTCGCTTCTATATTTTAGCGAAGTTTGTTCTTGTTCACTGGGCAATCAAGACGCTTTTGCTTTTGTTGGGTCTGTACTGGTTTTTGGCTCGGTTTTTTTGGTCATCACTTTCTTTTTCTCTTTGGTTTTCATTGTTTCTTGATTCGCTTTCTTTGTTTTTTCTGTTTTCTTTGTATTTTACTGATTTCTTTGTTTCTTTCTTGATCTTTATTGTTTTTTCTTTATTTTTCACTAGTTTTCTTTCTCGGTTTTCGTTTTTTTCCTTTCCTTATTTTCTTCAGTATTTTTAGTTTCTTTTATGCTCCTTTTGTTGGTTTTAATTTTTTAACACAAGTCTACCTTATTTGAAAAATGTTTATTGTAAGTACATGATATATAATTTTAGTGTACACGTGAAAATTTTGATACTCGTTGAATATTATTCAATAAAAAAAATTTGAGACAAGAATATTATTCAATAAATGGTTTTGAATACATGGTTAACCTTCTTCAAATACACAATGAACATTTTTCTAATGACAATAAATATTTTCTTAAACTACGCAAACATTTGTTAGCATTGTATAGAAAATTAAAAAAACTTCATGGACATTTTTCAAAAACACGTTATTATTTCTTTAAAATATCATGTACATTTTTTAACCTACACATTTTTTTACATTGTATAAACATTTTTTGTGTGTAAACATTGATCATTTCTTTCAAATTCATGATTAACCTTTGTTTAAACATATTTTTTATGTCAACGTTTTTTCATACAAATCCTACATTCTACTTATACACCAGGAACAATTTTTATTTAATATTTCAGAAATACATAATTAACATTTCTCATATACATGATTAAACATTTTTTTCAATATATTATTTTTATGCCTACTTTTTCATACACATTGCACATTTTTTTAATACATCAGGAAATTTTATATATACACGTCTATCATTTTTCAAATACACGATTAACATTTTTCATATCTATGTATTGATGTCTACTTTCTTCATACACATTATACAATTTTTATATACATTAAAAATATTTTTCTATACACGTTTAATATTTTACAGTGCACAATTAACATTTTTAAATTTTGTATTAAAACATAAAGTAAAAAAACAAAAGCAAAACTATAAAATGAAAAATGAGAAATGAGAAAAGAGGGCGCTAAAGGCCTGTTGTCCGTGCAGGGCCGGCCCATTTTGGCGGCTGCTTGAGGCAAGACATGCTATTGTCTTACATAAAGCGAGATATAGTCATGCGTGCCAAAGTACCCAGATGAAGCTTCGGAAGAGATCGAGACAAGAAGCCAAGGGCCCACACGGCCGCCCCGCGTGCCCTAGGGAAGGGTGAGCCACCTGGACATGTGTGCCCCCTTACACTGCCTTGACCTGATTCCACCGCCATAATTCTCTATAAACATCAAAACCCTTCGCCATATTTTCTGAAGAATTTTATCGCCGCCGTAAGCTCCTGTTCCACGAAGATCCCATCTGTTGGCTGAGACGGGTATGGACGGTGGACACACGGCATGGCGGTGGAGATCCCGCCAGCGGCAGTTGTAGGATGGTGGCAGGTGCGATGGTCGAAAATTTCAGCGTGACAGTTGGGCTCCGCATGGCTTCGGTCTATTTTGCAGCAGCCCTGTGGTCATCGCATATTTGTTGCACGTGCGGGCAAAAATATGGAAGTGCTCCCAAATACTCTGTAGTATCAGCCGCTGGAGCTGTATTTTTTGGTCCAAATATCTTAAAAGTTAGTTTTTTGGATAGTTGCCCTATATTAAATCATCTGTTGAAAATGCTCTTACATAATTTATTACAAATCCTCCTTAAAGCCAACTATACAGGCTTTCGCTATCGCCATGTAATGTAATAAGCAATTCAAACAATTCAAAAAAAATAGTAGAGGTCTCTGATACACAGTTGGTGACAAATGAGCTACTTAGTAATTACTTTTTTGAGCAACCTAAAAGTTGCTTTTGGGCGGGGGTAGGATCCAGGAGTTGCCGTAGACGAAGTGCGAGCCGGTGAAGGGCCTCGCCTGCGCGTCGTCGAGCACCCGCGCCCACCCGATCCTCTCGTTGGACATGGCCCCGGGCCCGCTGCACTTGTACTCCCCGTAGAATACACCACCCTTCCTGCAGCAACCATCATCACCAGCCGGCCCGCCAGTTAAAATTTGTGCGATGTGAAATGGTGAGGCCAAATTAAGTGAGAGGTAACACGTGCTATAGTTACCGATCTGGCTTCTCGACCTTCCATTTGTCCCAGCCGACGGGCACCACCTCCTTGCTCATGTCCGTGAAGGAGTAGACCACCCGCGACGAGTCCCCCCATGCCCTTCCGAGGTAGATCTGGCCCAGTCCGAAGATCTTGCACCGCACGAACGAGAACCCGCTCTCGATGGCGTCCTTATCGTCAATGCCCTTGCTCCGCTGCTGCGCCGTCAGCACTGCTATCTCCGTCGTCACCGACATGATCGTGCAGTCCTGCACGCATGCGCGTGGGTGTCACCATAAAATGCATCAAATATCATTGCCTACCTCACTTAGGACATGTGTGAATGTAGATGTTTGTTTGGTTAATTACCGTGTAGAGGGACCTCCCGAAGCCAAAGATAAAGTCGACGCTCCCTCGGATGATGCAATTCTTAAAGTAGTGGAGGCCCTTGTGGTCGTAGAGCGTGTCCTGCCCGCCGTCAATGGTGCAGTTGTAGAAGGCGGCCTTGGTGCCGAACAACCGCAGCGCCACCGCTTGCCCGCCCTCTTGACCCGCCTTTGCCAATGGTGCGTGGTTCTGCCATGAAGAGCAGGCCGCTTAAAGAAAAATCTCATAATTTCATAATGTTTACATGTTATTCACATAAATGTTTCAAAAAAATAGACAAATACATAAATGTTCCAAATATAGCGGCCAATTAGCTTTAAAAAAATATAGCGGCCAATTTCATTTTTTTTAGAATAACCTGCCAAGCTTTATTCCAAGATAATATTCATCGGTACAATGGTCGGGTTATGAGGCATACCCAGCCATACATGTCTACCCCGATCTAAATTACAAGCAAACTTGGTAAGTTTGTGAGCCTCAAAATTATGGTTTCTACGCTCATGAATAAAAGAGCTAAACTGAAAACTCGACTGCCGACCTATGATTTCATGTACTATAGCTGCATGGGGACCCCCCGTTCCTCTGTTTATGTCGTTGATCACCTCCTGACAGTCCGATGCAATGACGAATTTCTGAAGATTGAGGTCTTTTGCGAGTGCCAAAGCTTCTCTGCAGGCGTATGTCTCTAACATAACCGGATCAAGAACACCTGGGAAGGCCACCGATGATGATCCCAAGTAGGCACCACGATGGTCTCTGCATACTGCAGCCACAGTTCCTCCTCCTCTCTGCCGAGCTACT